CCCTACAAATGGGAAAAGCTTCCCTTGTTTCTGTTGGAAGCTAGTTTGATTTGGAGTATCTGAATGCTCAGGTGTTTGTTTAAAAGAAGAAAAAAAAAAAAGGGGGTAGAATTTGCAAGCATTATTTTGTAGTGTAGCTCTTAGTTCTTGTTTGTGTAGTTGTAGTTGTTATGAGCCTTTTGTTAGTAGTGGTTAAAGTATTCACTCCCTCTGATAAAAGAAAGGAGGAAAATATAATGGGAGAGGAAATCCTTTTTGCAGCAAAATCATATTTATTTTGAGTAGCTGTTTGGATATGTAATTTTTAAAAATTAATTTTAAATTACTCAGTGATCCCTTTTTCTTTGTCCTAAAGGTTCCATATTTCTTGTAGAATTTTAAAATAACCTTTTCTAATGAGGATGTCTGATATTCTTACTGTAAAAGATGAAACTGATACAATGAAGGGTTCAGAAGCTGAATTTGAAGATACAGACCCAGTTGAAAACCTTATAAAATCAGGAAGTCAGGAGCAGATTCAAGCTGAAAAGGATGAAAATTGTCCTGATGGCAAAAACAACATGCCGGTAAGAAGCTGTTCACTTTATTTTTCACTGATGTATCATGTTAAATAAGTCTGAGTTTTGTTCTTTTTCCTTATCCTCTTGCATGTTTCTTTGGTACAGGTGGGAAAAACTTGACTGGAGTTAGGGAAGCAAGCAGGATGATTTATTGCTTCCTCTCTCCTTCTTTGTCCCATTTCTCTGGTCATATTAATATGAGAATCAGTAATTTTTGATTGTGTGAAGTAGGTGAGTGGCTTTCATGGGAATCAACTACTTTGTCCACATTTGTGTTTTTTTGAGTGCATATATGAAGTTGAGTCTTTTCATTGTAGTAGAACGGGGGAAAAACTCGGCACTTGAGCTGTGTTTTGCTGTTGCTAAATACTGAGTTTCAGAGATTGGACTGTGTTAGGAATACACTGTATGGTAATAGTGTGTTTTGGTCAAGACACGAAGATGTTGAGTGGTGCTTATATGAACAGAGCACTGCAGCACCAGCTCAGTGTGCCTGCCCTGAGGAAAGGTGACCAGTCTATGGCTCCTGAGCTGTGTGTAGCTTACAGGAGGCTCAGGTGTAACTTTGACAGCAGAGCTGCACTGCATAAGGCTTAAGTAATCAGACGTAGGTAATTCAAGTCCCCAGGTGTCAGAGGAATCAAGACAGCAGAGCTCCTGAGGCCAGTAAGTCCAGGTCTTGCCTTAGCCACCAGCAGAAGGTCCACGCTCTTTCTCCCTACATCAGTGGTGGAGTGAGCTGGTGAGCTATCATCCTATCTTGGCTGCCAGCCAGGACTCCCCATGGCTTCCCTTTTCCTCTGTTCTTAGTGTCTTGACAATGTGGGTAGGTAATTTATGAGGTAAGAAAGCCTAGGCAGCCTTCATGCAGAGATTGGAAAGTTGATGCATAAAAATGAGCAGCCTTTGCGAGGTGGGAGATGTACCTATAAAGAAATTGTGGCATCAAATCTCAAGTGAGAAGGGAGGGAATGTGAAAACATCCTGTGTTAAAAGGATGGGTTAAGAATTTATGGCAAAGGATTTAATGCCTCTAAGGCTTAGTTGTGCAATCGGTGTTTATGCTCAAGAGTCCTGAAAGACTCGTGGCTGGAGCTGCCCACTTGATCATTGAAGCCTGTAAGTGCCTTAGACAAGGTGAGGTGTTAATAAAAGCAACTGAGATTTTCTGGCATAATGCAGAAAATGGGGCAAATTTCAAAGAGAAAACAGAAGCTTGTGTTTGACAAAAACTAGTTTTCTATAGGAATTTTGTGTCTGGGTTAATAATAAAATATTTTGTGATAAAAATCCTGATTGGAACATGGAGTATAGTAGTATTCTCTGTGGGTTGCAAAAACAGGACAGTACCTTATTAGATTCTTCTTACTGAGAATTGAGTAAAAAGTTCTTTTGGGAGTAATTTTGTTCATGACTAACAATTCAGTATTCCACCGAGTGAAGTAAGCTCTATCTGCTATGTTAAATTGCTTCCGATTAAATCTTGTAGTCTACTGTAATAACAATAGTTTTACACTTCAATATCTGCTAGCTTTGTTAAGGTTGGCATCAGTGTAAATACATAATTTTATTGAAAAAACAAGTGCTTAAAATGAAATACTTCTCTTGCAACATATGAGAAATAACTGCTACTGAAAGCTGGTAGATGTTATAGCTGGGCTGTTTTGTTTTTTTAATCAATGGAATAGTAGTAAGCCTTAAAAATTAATTCAAGATTTATTTATTTTCATACAGTTTAGTAACTTGGAAGAATCTCATTCACATTTTCTCATTCAACAGATTTTAGTGTGGAAACTTACATGCGACTCAAGTGGCAAATCTGCTTTCCTGCAGCCAGGTGTTTCTGTATAGTCAGACCTAGTCTAGAGCAGTGGATCTGTTGGTGCTGTTGATGGCTGAGGGGTTTAGTGAGGGGGTTAGTTGCTTCGTTTCATTCTTGTACAGAAGTAATAGCTGATGGCTGAAATAATTATCTAGCATGTGCACAATGAACAACTGTGTAATGACGGCTGTTTGATAGAGACAGCTTTGCTGTCATTTTCGTTTAGTGTTGCTGTGTTCAGGAGTCTCAATCATTGCTGTTATATGAGTAGTGTAATTAAAAACTTCGTAGGCAGTGTGTTGATTTCTTGAGTGGTAGGAAGACAATTACAAAGGGTAACCTTGCTAATGTAAGCCCTTTGCAACAATTGAAGTCAGTAAAAGTTAATGTCACTTGCACTGTGGTAACTGCTAGTCTAAATACAAATATGTATTTGAGACTTTTTCACTGAATGCATGCCTTATGCTGAAATGTAAAACAAAAATTTATAAATATTATCTCTACCTGGGAATGGCAGAGTAGTCAGCAAGCCTTAAACTAAAGGATTATTAAATGGTTTGACTAGTAAAATTTCACTGGATGTGCTACTTATTAATTGCAGGTTAAATGTTACTGTAGTGGTGGGAAAAAAAAATGCAAAGGATTTGCTGAGAAATGTTAGAGAAGATCAGAAGCTTACTGAAGTTTGTTGATTTCTGTTCTTAACTAATTGAGTATATCACAGGTGGGTGAGGGTTGTTTGGGGTTTGGTTTTGGCTTTCCTAGCTAGTAGCTAACTGCTTGATAGGTTTCATACCTATTAGCAAACTACAGTAATATTCCTGAGTATTGTTATCACTTGGTTTCTAATTTATTTACAGCCAAGTAAGAAACTGGCTATGATCTTTCTTCTGTCCAAACCTGTCATGGTTTGAACTCTGGTATGTTTCTGGATCTTCACAGTTCCAGAACCTGGTGATTGTATTTTAAAATCTATCTGTGGCTCTAAATTCTACATTATTTTGAAATGCTGTGCATTTGTAACCTATTTCCTGCTGCATACACTGTTGGAGGTACAGTGTGAATGAGAAAAATATCTTGGGAGTATATGGCTAGCACTGTCAACTTCTTTAAGCAATACAAGAGTAGGATAGTTGATACAGAGATTATTAGGGAAGATTTTTGAATTGCACATCTTGAAGTGACCAAGTGGCATTTAAACATGGCTGGAAATAAGAGGCATTTTATGAAAGGTACTTTTATAGAAGTCAGATGCATGTTGTGATCAAAAAGGTTTGGTTCAGCA